CTGTGTGCAGCTTTGCGTCCACTGCTCTTTGTTGTCTGTCCTCTAGCCCTCTGCGCTCTAAAGTCTTTGCGTCTCTTCCTCCCCAAGTCAACTGAAGATCCACAGATCTTTCCGTTAAAAGTAGGCCGGCTAGCACTTATACATTCATACTTGAAACCCACTACCCTCGACGTGCAATCACGGAATGTACCTTTGAGTACCGCACTGAAACCTTCATTTCTTATTGAGGTATTTAGTTGCGCCTCTCATCATAAACTTTGTTATCGTAGATTTGAATCAAAACATTCAGAAACCGGTTCAACACCGACGTAGTTTCAACAAGGTTCAGTATGTTTGCTGAATGAACATAGAAGGACTACTTTTTCGTGCTACTTGAAGGTTTGAGATCTCTTTTCGAACACGGACATTTCATTTGTAATGATATCACCTTTTATCCCTGAGGGCGTAGCACAATTAAAAAAAGCGCCGTGCACGCCACCACTTCCCCTCCATTCTGAAGTGAACTCTATATCAATGATTCACACAGCGTACGGAAGTGACGCGCTTTCGCCGCGCGAGACCTATCTTCCGCGGAGACGATGGGAAAGTGGTCGCGCGGCCGTGCGCGCGCCAAAATCCGTGGTGTTTTCTGTCCCGCACTCTGCCAAATGTGTTTGTAATAATTAATGTCCCTCCTTTTTATAGCGTCACGGTTACACCATAAGTACTGATAGGAAAACCAGAACTGGACAGTTTTTAAGGCAGTCGTCGTAGCATATAATATTGCACATACAACAATTACAACAAAGGATCATTAAACTAAATATATGAGCGAAGAAATGGTCGACAACCTTGGCGCAATTATCTATAGAGCCCTGATTTTTTTCTGTTTTTTCCAAACAATGGGGGTTTTTGCTCTAACTGTGGTTAGAGAAAATATTTCCCAAACACGATCCTCTTTCCCTCATCTTACCTCCCAACTACTTATCACACCTTTCCTGTGCTCTGGAAATATCTCAGGTTTTTCTTTAAATTTTAGTCGAGAGGGAGTGAATGTTGCCACCGATAAACTCCTAATTTCAATTATCAAAAACGTTAGCTGTATGAGACTTTCGCTGCACCGTAAACTAGCGAGGTATATAGCACATG